CAGCTCCGACAGAACACAGACCAACTTTTACCTGCTGTCATAACAGCGCGTTTTAGAAAATACCACAAATGGCGCGGTAAACGCCATCTGTAGTACGATGCTACATTTTAGGATTACGTATGCTCCAACAAGGTCCATTTAAATATATGGATATATATCCAGGAGGAGTTCAAAATGATGTAAAACTTTTACAGGAAGGAAATATAAGTACTTTTTCTCAAAGATGTCCTGGAATTGTTTCGTTCAACTCTTCTTATAGACAACTATTTGATAATACTTTGAATACGTTAGGTAAATTAATCCTTTATACTGTGAAATTCCATTCTAAAATGCTTTGAACAACAAAAACCTCCTTTTGAAGTAGTATAATTATGGAACCGTTGTGGAAAAATAAATGCGATATTCCTTCTTATAACAAAAAAGAATACATGTAGTACAGGAATCCTTGATATAGAAACTGGAGATTTTGGACATCATGACATATCATTCAAAATCATTTGGAACACAAACAGCAGAAGCTTTAAAATTACCTAACCACAAGTTACTATTATTGTGCAAAATATTTTCTGAAACCAAGGATCGAGTTAAGAGAGATTGACTTTTAGTCCTCCTTGTTTTGAAATTGGTTATATACTTTTACTTTCCATTTGGCTTCCCTTTTCATTCACTCTTCCATCCCAGACTTCATTGCCGCATAATAGGTATGGAGTCTGTGGATGAAATAGCCTGCGTCCAAATTGTACATAAGTGGTTTCCGCATGATTGATGCGTTCGCAAATCTGAATAATAATAACCTGTTATGAATGTGTAAATTGCAGTCGTGTAAATGAGATATAAATCACCACGACATCAGCGACAACGCTTTCGATTTCATTTAAATTCTATTAGTTCTTCCCACACAACAGCCAATGTTGTTATTGTTTCTTACGCTCTTTTATTTATTTCCGTATAGGCACAAGTAACAAGTCCATTTTCATTCATTATTTATTTTTTGTTTATATTAATAACCAACTAAAATTCATGAAATTGATAATTTAATTAGCAACTGAAGATTACTGTTAGCGTTGAATAGAAAAGAAAATTACTTTGAGTATTGATAAGAGTTGGCCTTTGCAGTAACATTTCTGATAGTTCTCTTTACGTTTTATTTCTTAGCATACGACAGAAGTTGCGTTATGCAAGAGAGTTATCAACGGTAGCTGTCTGCAGCAACTGTCAACGGAACCATTATCGGCGACTGTCATCGG